AAGGACCTATCTTTTTTATTACAGATATCGATAAAGCGGTAAATTCACAATCCAAGGGTATAACAAATTTTACATTTTTATAGCTTTTCATTTGAAATAACTACCATCATCAGTGGCAACAATTTTAAATTACGGTCCTGTTGTTACTTTTTTTGTAGATTGTTTTGATTCCTTCAAAATATTATTCGGACAACTCAATAAATTCAACAGGTACGTACCCTAACACAATGAAAATTCTTACTTTTTCGTTTTGGAAATTTTTGTATTGGCGTAATCCTTCTTTCAAGCCTCATTTCTCACTAATCAATTATAATTCGTAATATTTTTATAATTCTCAATCTTGGAAGTAACAAAAATATCAGTTTTTGGTCAAAATTCGATTGTTGTATAATTTGGTATGATCAAATAGCATCTCAACTCTTTTACAATCTTGAACGCGTAGGCTTTGCTTGGTTTCTATGGCAAGAAAAATGAATGCGTGATTCCTAACACGGGTTGGACGATGGCAAGTGAAGATCGATCGTTCAGACTAGGGCTTGAACCACCGACCAACACGGCAGTCAATTCGAGTGAGTGAACAAAGCACCCACGCCGAACCGCTTGGCTACCGACCGACCATCAACATATTAAAGATGCATTAAAATGATGAAAGGACTGATATGCTATTTTGTTATGCAAAATCAAATATACATCCTATTTTGGTAAGGAATATGTATGTTGAGCTATACCCGAATCGTCATATTCCGAATATCCAAATGTTTAGACAATTAGAAAGAAATTTGAGGGACTATGGTGCATTTCAATTGTGGGAACAAACATCCTCGGCCCTTTCTTTTACAATATTCATTTGAATAGTGAAATGTATCTTCATTTTTTATTCAATGAATCAGATGACTACTTGGATGAATTGCCACTGAGTATCCACCATGAAATACAATATTTTCAACAGGACGGCGCTCCTCCCCATAATGCAACAATAGTAAGGGAACATTTAGATGCAATATTTCCAAGAAAATGGATTGGTAACAATGGACCAATTAACTGGCCAGCTCCATCCCCAGATCTTATTTCTTTAGATTTTTTGTCTGGGGATACATAAAGGATAAAGTTTTTTCATCACCAAGTACAGATATCGATCATCTCAAACAAAAAATAAGATATGCATGTATTAGTATTACACCTATTACGCTAGAAAATTGCCACAGAAATTGTCTGGAACGACAACTTAAGTGCATTCAACAAAGAGATCGTCAATTCGAGCATTCAATGTAGATTGCCATGTAGCTTTGATTTTCCGTATTGGTTTCATTCTTCCCAAAAGTTCATGATAAAATAAATTGTTTTCTGTTTGATGGTTGTCACTGATGATGGCGGTTATTTCAAATGAAACGCCATTAAAATTGGATTGTGAATTTATCGCTTCATCAATATCTGTAATAAAAAAACAGTTCCATATTTAAAAAAAAGTTGATGGTGGCCATGTTNAATTCAAGACTTCAATTCCTGTTTGACAAAAGACGAGAAACAACCACAGTTTCTATTACAAGTTGGATCTTAATGTCGAAAAATTTTTTCTGGCTCTTCAAAAGCCAGGTTGTTTAAGCCATTAACCACCTTGGTCTGATAATTAATTGTAAATGTAAATAATAATGACTCCTTTCTTTTATTGAGCTTTCTTTTTATATTTTGGGTTATTAGAGTTTGGACATCATTTCTTCTCATTTTTTATGCCCTTTTGCTTTTATTTTCTCCTAAATCCATCATTTTCATTTTGAATTGTGCTGTATTTACTTTGAAAATAGTTTTAACTACACACTTTTTCATGTACCAATTGATAAAATCAATAAAACAGAATCTGGATAGCAGATGTGATTAAATCCTGCAATATTTTTAGGTAGTTTATAAAAAAATATAAAAAGGTACAACTTCATCCTTGATGAGACACGGGTTAACCTCATCCAATTGAGCTGAAACATCATCAATCTCATTTCTTAGCTAACTGGCAGCTTTTAGGAAAGTCCCTTCAAAAAAATTTCAACATTGTTTTTTCGCAACCACCCTACTCAAGATTCTAAACATTAAGATCTTGAGCAGGTTCGGCTTCTTCCACTGCAAGCGACTGGTTTTCGAGTCAGAAAATAATAATTAATACTATAATATGCATCGACAGTCCCAAGTTATACTCCTATATTCCAAAAAAGATTCAAATCCAATTCAAATTTCAAAGTGAACCTGTTTTTTACCTTATGATATTTCAGAGGGGAAAAATTCCTCTACTTCTCGCAGTGGAGGCAGGTAACCAGTCTATGTGCAGAGAACTTTTGAGCGCACAGACGGCGGAACAACTGAAGGCGCAATCTGCCAATGGAGACACGGCACTCCACTTGGCTGTTAGACGGAAAGATATCGATATGGTAAAACATTTTTCCTTCAAACAACTAGCATTGCTAAACTCTTGTCTGCAGGTTAGGATTCTCGTTGATTACGGAACCAGTGTTGATATTCGCAACGGGGAGGGACAGACACCCCTCCACGTAGCGGCAGCTGAAGGCGACGAGGTCCTGGTAAAATATTTTTATGGTGTGAGAGCTTCTGCCAGCATCACGGATAATCAAGATCGAACTCCGATGCATTTAGGTATGTGGAATATGATTGAATATTTCTATTACACCTGTTGTGTAACGTTTATTCCACGATATACTGGTAGACACTGGTGAAACTGATAGAGGTGAACTTGTAATGATCTCACTTTTTTGACAAAATGGAAACGATCAAATACTCTGGGAATAACTCCTGGAGTATTGCAACTTTGCGAAGAGCTTTGAGATGTCTGTGTATAATTAATTACTTCCGCAGGTCAAATCATGTATTTCAGATGGTCAACACAGTTTCCTAATTACAAACTCCCTACATCAAGTTTTCAGATTTCGAATGTATTATTTAGTATTTATAGTTGCTAAAGGGATATAACCCGTAACCGGTCGTGAACATAAAATAACTAGTGGAAATTAGACGAAACTGTTCTCATCCATATCATTAAAGTGATCATGAATTTGCATAAAATAAACAAGTCATCAATAACACAGATTTCGCGAAGGTCTTCGATATATTCAATATTTACATTATATTCGAAAAATCAACCAATACCGGTCAAAATTCGTCTCTCATTCAATTGCCTCATTCAGATATAAATTGTAGAACCAGTATATTTCTTCATAACGGATTTGCCTCAATACCGTAGGTATATCTCAAGATCCGGAGTACCGCAAGGGTCTAACTAGGATTTTCCTAATATTTGATAAAAAATCTCACATCTGAGTTTTCATTTGGACGACCTGAAGATCTTACTATGAGAGTATATCTACAATCTCAACTAATTAATATAGAAAATTGGTATCAATAAAATGAACAGAGTACATAACACAACGTAACATTGCGAAAAATTTGGCAAACTTGCTTGGTTATCTTTATGTCCTAGCTGTCAGTTTATATAATTTTTTTGTTTACGTGTTTTGTATCTTATATTAGTTCGAAAGTAAACGTTTACACAAGCGCAAGATAATGTCAGTTTTCATTTGTCAGTTTGAAATTAATCCCTCCCTTTCCCGGTGAACTTTGTATTCGAAAATATATGGTTTCTGTGGTACGCTTGCAGATAAAGCAAACTATTTCTAAGACGCAGCTGAATTCATTTTTCAGATAATATCCATTGGTTGTTCACAGTATAAGGTTGTGAATAATGTGAAAGGAGCAAAGGAGTGGTTGAAGTGAGTTTTTGTGACATGTTTATAGTAATAAATTGTTTCTTTTCCATACAAATTTTGAACACCATATTCATACACAATGATCAAAATTTCCACCATATCTTGTACAAATTTTCTAAGACATACCTAAATATGATTGAGGTTATTTTAAATGTATACAACGCCGGAAATTAGGATTGATCGCTCCAAAATAAATATATAAATGAAACGTCATTATGATTCTGTCCTTCATTTTCAAAATAAAAATCAGATGTTATTTCAAAGTATACATAAAAAAATGTTTACCGGGTTATATACTGTTTTATGTATATCCGTGTCGAAGGCTTTTCTAGATGTTTTATGCCAATTTCGAGAAAATCTGGATCACAGATGAACAGTTTTGAAATGCCCATTATCTGTAGTTTCGAGTAAATTATGAAGGAACCAAATAATTTTTTTTCATATCTCATATTTCTAGTACCGAAAAATCAGGTATCACCTCTAAAATAATAAATTCTCACGTGGGATATGTACCTATAAATCACAGAAATCATTCAGTTCAGTCATTTTTCATGTCTTTCTCCTACTGAATCTTTCTCCTCAAATGTTCCGGAATCCATACCAATGTTTTGGTGCGCGAGGAACTATAAAATGTTTCAACTTTGGATCAACTCAAACGGTATGAGACAATCGGCCTTCCTATTCGATGGATCAGGTGTTTCTAAGTAGAAAATGTGAAGCCAAGTATTTTCATATGTTATAACTCCAACATTACGGGGTCTCTTCAAAAAATAAGGTGAATGTTCAAATTAAGCGTGCTACGTATATTCGATTAGCGATTTTTTTTTCATGTTTCAGTTTCAGCTGTTTAGCATGTTCAGTTTGTTGGAGAGAGATATAAAATTCAAAAGTGTTGCGTGTTCGACAATTTTCTGGTATCGAAAATTCGATAGAAAAATTTGCTTAAAATTTTATGTGAAAATAGGAATCAAATGCTCAAAAAACACTTGAAATGTTGGCAGTGGTATACGCTGATTGTACTCTGAATCAAAAAAAAAATTACAAGTGGTACAAGCTTGTCACAGAAGGTTGAGAAGATGTAAATGACGACTTTCCTCTGAACGCCCCAGCACATCAATAACCGATGAAAATGTTGAAAAAGTTATTTATTTGGTTCACCCCATGGTTGTAAGGGGTGAAAAACGCAATACCTAAAATTTATTTCCAATGTAACTTTTTGTCTTATCATTTGTTTACCATTTGAAAATTTATTTCCGATAGCCCGTTTCATTCTGAACAAAAAATGTCTTTTGGGTTTTTTGCCCAAAATGAACCAATTCGCGGCAAAAAATTATTTTTGGAACAACTACAGAGATACATCCTCATAAATGCGAAAATACAAAACTAATCTATCTAGTAGGTCGCCATTAGCGATAGTGACAATTAAATTGGTATGACGCTGTCAGTTTGTGAATTTTCGAAATTGAATTAATACTAATTGTGTGTTGTTGTTCTGTTCTTAATTTGTTACTT